ACTTTGATGAACCCTTCACACCTGTTACTGAGCATCAAGAACTTTTGCCTCTATCAGAACTATCTTCCTCTTTGCCCATGTCACCCAGCAATTCAGAACTAGCAGCTGAACAGCTACTCCTTCCTTCCCACTCCTTAATCAAAAAGTCCATTATCACCCTTCCAACTCAAATACCTGCTCAGAATACCACTTCCTTGCCTCTCTTGAATCACACACCTCCTATTCTCCAAATTCCAAACCAGATTCCTGCACTTCTCCACATAATGTCTGGAGCTAAAGATATGCTGCTCAGGGGTTCCAACAAGGCCCTGAAGTTTTCCAGATGCACTAAAGATATCACTTGTTACCTCAAAGATGTTGAACAACTCTGCCTCACCATTGGTCTCATTTCTGGAAAAGATAAGATTTGCTGGGTCATTCACTATGCAGACCACAACAAGGTGGAACTCACCACTGTGGGGTGAGTACACTCAGAGCAGACCACAATGACAACAGAATGTGGACAGGCATGTGATATTAAGCGATCTAGCAATCAAGCAATCAGGTGTATATGCTGATACAGGTAGATTGATAGAGAGAGAGAGAGAGAGAGAGAGAGAAAGAGGAGAAAGAGAGATGATGACCCACACATACAGATAGCACCAGTATATATATGCCCCCAGAGTCCAAACAGCACAACACAGCCAAGGGGATCCACATGCCCAGACAGCACAATAGGAGATGTGATACTGTGATGAGATAGCATGAGCAAGCATGAGTGGTGTAGTGGTAAGCATATGCATATTGACACCTGGTAGAGGTGTCAAACTGCCACCCCATCATGCCCCTTCTGTTCCCATGCCCTTGACTACCCATAGTCAAGGGAATAAGCCTCTGCCCATGACACCACCATCATCACCACTGTCTTCATCCTTGTCTTTTCTGTCTCTGCCCCCTACTGCCTTGCCTTCCCTACCTGTGGCTTCGCCTGGTGCCACTTCTTCACCCATCTCCCACTTGTGTGTTCCCCTACCAGCATCCTTCCCACCATCTCCCACATCCACAGACAGCTCCTCCTCATCTGACAGTCTTACTGTGGTCTTCCCTGTTGTTGCAATGTCCTTGATGCAGTCTCAGACTGCACAATGCGAGAATACCACTCCTGGCAAGACTCCCCCCTTCTTGACAGTGGGTGACATTACCCCTGAAGGGTTGTGGAGCTGGGAGCTAGGTTGTGAGAACTACTGTCAGTTGAAAGGTGTGGCAGAGGATGTCCAGGTTGCTAAGGTGGTTGGCCACCTTCTCAATCCACATGTGCAAGATTGGATTAGTAACAATGGCAGCCAACTGACCACTCTCTCTTTCTTGGAGTTTATGGATGAGGTCCATATGTATTGGCTCCCCAGTGACTGGGCAGAAGCCATCCAGCAAAAGATGCTGTTGTTGATGTAGGGTAACAAGGCCTTCCACTTGTGGGCCATTGAGGTGGAGAGTCTGAACATCCTGTTGCAAGGAAGTGAATTTCACCTTACAGAGGACCATCTCCATTTCCACTTAGAGTCTCATAAGCACCCCAACCTCACTGCAGAGTACCATCTGACAGCTACCTGTTGTGAGAAGTGGTTCCACACTTGGCTCGACTTGGTCCACCTCCTCAACAAGAAGCATGTCCATGATTCCACAAAGATTGATGCAGCTATTCACAAGAAGCCCTTCCAGCCTAGCTGTGCAGCCAATGCTACCACATCAACCCCAAAGGCACCTGATGGCCATGTGTGTACCCAACCACCTGCCCTCACTGTTGAGGAGTGCCAGCTCCTCCAAGACAACTCTGGATGTTTCAAGTGTCATTGCCTCTTCCAGAATCACACTATGCACAACCACAACTGCCCAAATGATTTTCTAGATGCTAAGAACTATAAAGCCTTGACTGTTGCTGACATTGAAGCTGCTCAAAAGAAATGTGCCAAGCCTGTCACAGCAGTCATTGAAGATGAGCCCACTTCAAAGCATTCCCACATCACCAAGGAAGACAGTATGGATGCCATTGCCATTGTCATGCCCTCTGCCATTCTTGGGGATGGCACAGACTCAGGTGAAGAGCATGTTGCCCCTCTTTCTGTTCCCCATCTTCAGTGGTCATGCCTGCTTGAGGGCCCCAACTTGACCTTCCCCCTTCCTGTAAAGGCACTTATTGACAGTGGTTCTCATCTAGTTCTGATTGATGAGGCACTTGTTGAGAAACTAGGACTGTGATGCCAACTGTTACACAAGTCTCTCCATGTTTCAGTTGCCCTTTCTTCAGGTAACCAGGAGGTTAGGTCGTTGGGAAACTATGTTGTTCTGTCTTGCCTTTCCCATGATATGCATTTCCATTCATGTTCTGTTCATGCCATTGTTGCACCAGGGTTGTGTACCCCACTCTTGTTGGGACTTCCATTCCTCTTGCATGACCAACTTGTTATTGATCATGCTCTCACACTATCTTGTCAGCTTCATCAGAGATGTCCTCCTATGTCTTAGACATCCCTCAGGCAGGCAATGCATGCACTACATTTCATGCCAGCCAGTTACATGCATTCATGCCCAATGACACAACCCTCTCCCCTCTTGCAAGCTACCCCATCCTGGGCCTGTAGTCACAGCCAATGGGCAGCTGGAGAATTTGATTGAGCAAATTCTGGATGAGAAGTGGGCTGGGCAGACAAAGAAGTACTTGGTGCAGTGGTTAGGATATGGGCCAGAGGATGACAAGTGGTTGATGAAGAAGGATTTGGAGGACTGCAAGGCACTGGATGTTTGGGAAAGGGAACACCCACCATAGGCCAGTGGAAGTCAGTGAAGACAGTGGTTGAGGTGGTTGATGAAAGCTGGTTGATGAAGACTAGAGTCTCATTCATGAAGTTTTATTTGCTTCACTGAGAGGACAATTGGGGGGGGAAAGTTGCAATCCCCTATGCTCCTGTCACCCCACAGACCCCCAAAGCTTGACCCCTTTTGATACCTGACACCTGCCATCCCCTTTTTGATGTACTGTATCAGCATCAGATCAGCACTGCCTCTCTGTCATCCCACCTTTGCCTAGAAGTGATTCTTTCAAGGTGTGACATGCACAGCCTCCCCCTAATGTGATTCTAGTGTGCTTACTCAGTTTCTGACATTAGGGGAATTCACAGTGCATTTTTGTGCATCATTTTCATGCATTTTCAATGCCATTTTTGTTTTGTTTTTGTTGACTGGGCAGTTTGCTTTGATATCCCCCATTTTGGCTTCATTTTGGCAGTTTTCAAGGTTTGAATATATGTAGATAAAACATGTTAATTATCTTGAACAAGTCATCAGAAACCATATGCCTTGCACCACAGAAAGGTGGAAAGCTGCAGAAGCCCTTCTTGATGTCTATCTGGCTACTCTACTTGCTGAATCTCACTCATACCTTGATCCCCCAACCTCTTCTGACTCCAATTCCAGTGGTTCTGAGAGTGCAGGCTCTGAATCATCTGATGAACACCTGCATGGTGCCCCCTCAGCCAGTAGTGCTGTGTTGAATGCCCTTCCAGGGTTGTACTTGCAGCATTACCTGGTGAATCATCAACCCATCAAAAAGACAAGTGCCAACTTGGAGTTGCTTCTTGGCAATTGGATTCAATCATCCTGAGATTTTCAGATCCCATCTTGGTGTCACTCCAGCATGCTTTGACCTTCTAGTAGTCAAGGCTCTTCAAGAGGATCCAGTTTTTCACAACCAGTCAACTTCAGAGCAGATGGCAGTTCAAGACCAGGTTGCCATTGCACTGTATCGCTTTTGGCACTATGGGAATGGTGCAACAACAATGAAAGTTGCCCTTTTGGCTGGCATTGGTTATGGTACAGTACACCTGGTGACTAATTGTGTTATGACAGCAGTGTGTTCAGAAAGGTTTTGGAGATCTGCACTTCACTGGCCTGATGATGACATGAAGGAGAAAGCCAAGGCCTGGGTGGAGGAGCACTCCTGCCCTGCATGGCAGGATGGTTGGTGCATGGTTGATGGGACCTTGGTGCCTTTGCATGCCTGACCTGGTTTTTATGGAAATACTTGGTTTGATTGGAAGTCAAATTACTCACTCAATGTTCAGGTATGTCATCTTTTCAACTGATTATTGACTCCTTCTCTTAATATTTTCAAGACTGTATCAACCCCTGATCTTCAGATCATTGACTATGCTGTTGGCTTACCAGGTAGTCAGCATGATGCAACAGCTTTCTCTGATACTCACATTGCTAAAGGACCACAACATCTTGTTGGATGATGGAGAATTCATATGGGGTGATTCTGCATATCCCCTGCATACCTGGTGCCAAGCACCCCACAAAAAGTAAGCTGCCAGCATTGAGTGATACTGTGGCACATCTTATTTTTCTAGGCCAGCAAAGGATATCCCTGAGAACAAGACTCACAACTATTATGTCTCAAGGGTATGTATCCATTCTGAGCATTGTGTTGGGTTCCTTAAAGGTCACTAGTCATCTCTTCATGGACTCCAAGTCAACATCATCAATGAGGATCATATCAAGTATGCAGTGCTGTGGATTGTCTCTTGTATCCATCTGCATGCATTTGCAACAGGGCATGAAATGGGCATTAACACTTCAACTGACTCATTCTATTGTAATGGGATTCAAATTATGGGGAAGGAGGCCCAATGGTATGCTGGATGGTATGGTGAAAGTGAAGAAAATGCAGGGAGAATGGAGGATGAACATGAAAAGTCAAGGAATATTGCACTATTGGAGGGGAAAATTAAAAGGGAAGAATTAAAGAAAAGTCTATTTGAATTTTTGCATAGTCAGTGATGAAGAAGCTGTTTAGAAAGTTGGGGATCAATAACAGAAAGGTGCATACTAGTAGAACCCAACCCAGCTTGGAGTTCCTCAAGCCTAATTTGCCTGTCCATCATCATGAGCTCATGTGCTTGCTGACAATCCCCCTCCTCTTGCTGATGCTTGAGACAGAGCTCCTCAATCTCAAGTGCCATCTCTCATGCAGCCTCCCCCTTGACACACTCCTGTCTAGTCTTCTCTTTTGCACTATTGAGACTCATCTGCAGTTGAGCTGCACACTCACCTTCCACAATCTCACATGCAAGCTCCTGTGGGGTCATTTTCCTCTTGACTGAAGAGTAGCCTGTGCAGGGTGATGCAGGATGTTTCACTGTGAGCTTTGCCTTGGGCTCAGGAATGGACAGTGGGGCAGTCACCTCCCCCTTGCTAGGTGGCCATTCAATATCAAACCCAGGAGAACCAAGATGGGAGTTGTTCAATGGTGACAAGTCACAGGGAGCACTCTAGAACATTTGATCACATCAAATCAGTTACAGATCACACATGTACATAGTAACAAAATACTTCAGTGATGTCTCCACCTTTATCAAAGACATCAGCATCATTCTTGAGTCTGTCAAGAACAGAGAGGTCAAGAGATGAAGTACTGTTGGATATGGCTACACAACCAGCTATGGGGCTAGTGCCTGCAAGCTCATGCATCTGTCAATACCATGGAAACTTTTGCTTTAATGAAATCTGAAGATGCCACATAAGTTTTGTTGAGTACACATCCACAACACTTACCAACACTTACCATAAACCTTTGCAATCTCAGACCCAGGTGTAATATCATGTTCACAGTCTGAAACAATGAGACCATGCCCAGTCTCACCAAGTTGCTTGCAGTAGTCATTGTAAGTTGTGCAAAGGCTACTGAACACTCAGAACATCATCAAACAAACCAAGTTGCATGACTCACCTTGAAATACAATTTTTCACAGCTTCCATCAGCTTCTTTAGATCTGCTGGTCCAAATGGTGTGCCAGGTTTGTCTGTAATGAACAGGGCTTGGGCAATCTGGGTACAGCGCTCAATGATAGTGAGCCTGCTGCTAGCAGATGACTTGTCAAAGCCAAAAGCCACCATCCACTTCATATTACTCTCAACAAGAGTGAGCAGCTCATCTGTGAGCTTGGGCTGCTTTTTCCATCTGCCACCAATCAATAGCTTGGCTCGCAGGACCTGAATGGACTTATGGTACAAGAATACCACACTTTTTCTGCCTGCCAGTCACTCTGTTCTCTTTTTTGGACTCATCTTCAACTCCATCAAGAGGTGTGCTTGGGGTTACTGTTCTGCCATGACTAGCAGGCTTCTTGGCTCTTTTTTCTGGGGTGGAGTCGCCAGAGATAACCTCAGCTTAATACTACAGGGCATAGATATGGAAGAAATCTACTAAAAGGATATGATGTATATGTGGTATAACATGCATGACAGGGAAATGATGACTGACATGCTGAGTCAGCACTGGCATCTGTGAAAATGTCAAAGTGCTGTTTTCACATCATTTGCAAGTGGGCATGTCCAAAACAAAAATTAAAATGGCATGAAAATGATGCACAAAAATGTGCTGTGAATTCCCCTATTGCTTGACTCATATTTTGAAATTCTGACTGTCCTTGACTCACCTATTGCAAATACTTACCAATCTTTTGACTTTGCTTACTGATTCTTCACTTTTTGGTTTACTTATCCTTACCAATGCTCACCAATGCTTTCTAAGTTGATTACCCACTGCTTACATTCCTTACTTATCAGTTACCAATCACTTACCAGGTGTTTACACCTTGTTTTCCATAGGCAATGCCCCTGTACTGTATATAAATCACTGTACTCAGGTAGAGAAAAAAGATAATAATCAGAGTTATCTCTGATCTTCCATCTGGTCTCTTCCTCTGAAATACAAGGGCTGAGATCATGCAAGGGGGTAGCACATGAGCTAAACCCAACACCCTCACTCTGCTCCACTTCTGTCCCAGCAGACTTCAATCCTGCCAATCCTCCACTAGTCAGAGTTCCATTTGACTGTGTCAGACTTGTATCTGCACCTCTCCCCAGACCTTGTTTCATGTTGGAGTTGGTCAGAGTAGGCCTGGACCTGACATGGAGGAACTTTGTGCTCAGAACCTTGCCTTGCAAAAAGGCATAGCTGGCAGTGAGGATCAAGGCCCTTTGTCTAGTAATCAAGATGTTTATCCACTTTGAAACAGTGTATGACAGAATACTGATTATCATTTAGTATATGCATCCCCATTCCCCCCCCCCTCCCCCCCATGTATGCATCTGCATCTGTATTCACACTACAATAGTATGTAGTAGTACATGTGAATATGGATGTTTGTTTTGTTTGTTATCAGTTCACTATCACTTGCTAGATCTCGCTGTTGATAATTATGCTTTTTGGCGGAGTCTTAATTTTTAAATCGGATATTTAACAGCATTATATACACATCTACCGTTTCCAGGTCACACGCTTTTTCTGTGGAGTTTGAATCTCTAGTCGGAGATTAAATATTAGCCCACAAACTCACATTTGCTTGCACGTTTTTTTCCACATTTAACTTTAAAGCGGCCCTATAGCTAGATTCCGTCTACCATCTTTCAAATGTGCCAGTCAAGGCGATCGGCCCATTTTCCGGGCAAGAGCTGGGAGATCTGTTCGACATCTTTGTCACCTCTCCCAGAGAGGCACTGTATTCCGGCGCGTCAATAGAGGCAGGAGAAACTGGTAAACGTGACACTTACAATAACCATGTTGGTTTCCTTGGGAAGTGTCTTCGCTCGGCGAATGCCCTCCCACAGAGCATGCGAAGATTCCAATGCTGAAGTACATCATCAAGTATGGCCCCTTCATAATCAAAGAATGCTAACCTGGAATGATACCCTCGAGCTGAGTGCACAGACGGAATCCTCTCAAAGCTTCCTCGTCGGTCGCAACGACGTACTCAGCACGTTTCTCCTTCTTCAACCAGGAGTGTTCCGGTCCAACACCAGGATAATCCAATCCAGCACTGATAGAGTGCGTCTCTACGATTTGACCAGCGGGATCTTGCAGGACATATGTTCGAACTCCATGCAAGACACCCGGCTTGCCTCTAGCCAGGGTGGCACTGTGACGATCGCCGTCGATACCTTGCTGGGAGTTAGTACACAAGGACAATAAATTGATCCATACACCCACCTTCGCCTCCTGCCTCAACGCCCACGAGGTCCACAGATGTATCTGGAATGAACTCGTAAAAGGACCCAATGGCATTGCTGCCACCTCCAACGCATGCGACAACCACATCCGGAAGTTTCCCTGTTTCCTCCTTCATCTGTGCTTTGATTTCACGTCCGATCACCTTTTGATAGTCGCGGACAATAGTCGGGAATGGATGAGGGCCAAAACAGGATCCGATGAGGAAATGGGTTGTAGCAAGGTTCGTAACCCAATCTCTCATTGCTTCGTTAACAGCATCCTTCAGTGTCTTCGAACCTGACTCGACGGGCACGACCTGAGTAAAACTTAATTAGTAGCTTGATTGATTCAGATCGCAAGTTGAGTACCTTGGCGCCAAGCATCTTCATACGGAAGACGTTTAGAGCTTGTCTCCGTACATCCTCGGCACCCATATAGATGACGCACTCCATCCCGAAACGGGCACACACGGTCGCAGTCGCCACACCATGTTGTCCGGCACCCGTTTCTGCGATGATGCGAGTTTTGCCGAGACGCTTAGCCAACAGGATCTTGGCCGACGTTCAGCCTAAAACATTGAAAGGAGCGGGCATATGCGCACCTGGCCAACCGCATTATTGATTTTATGTGACCCTGTATGGTTGCTGTAAAAGCATGAGATCAGACCGATTTTATTGCGTGATCGTGATCGGCGGACACGTACAGATCCTCTCGTTTCAGCCATATCTGTGCGCCATTAGCATACTTGGTCAGACTTTCTGCAAAGTATAGCTTGGAAGGGCGGTTCATATAACCATAGTGGCTTTCGAACTCAGCCCAGAACGTTGGGTCATTCCGCGTAGCATTGTGAGCCTCCTCTAACTCGATGAGACAGTCGAAAAGTGCTTCCGGTACATACTGGCCGCCAAACTCGCCGAAGCGCGAGGGGAGAAGTGTCATTCCAGTCGGTCGAGATATCCCGGCAACGACCGGGTAATGATATTGTGAACTTTGAACTCCGGCAGTGGAGGAGTTGGAGGGCGATGATCCCTTGAGTCCTCTGCAGAAGTTCTCGACTACCTGAGGAACTTGACCAGCCGGTGCTTCTTTGATGAGGGAGACTATGCGACTCCCGACGACGACGCCATCCGCTCCAGCTTCGACAACGGCATCAAAGTGAGCACGTGTAGCAACTCCGAAACCCACGGCAAGGGGTACGGAAGTGTGCTTGCGGATACGAGCGATGATGTCGGGAAGCTCGCTGTTCACGAACCCTTTGACGGAAGAGCCGGTGGTTCCCATCTGGGAGATGCGGCATGCATATTCCGATAACGTCCAACTAACATGAAGGAAGAACTTACACGCGAGACGACGTAAATGAAGGAATCTGCGATGGAAGCCAAGTAAGGAAGTCGGTGCAGGGACGTCGACGGTGCTACGAGAGGGACATAGGACATGCTATAGGCCCATAGATGAGTTTTCTTTGGCTTTCACGATCTAATGACATGTGCTCACCCGGCTCTCGTGCATTTCTCGCGGAATCCGGATGCCTCTTCGGGTGGGAGGTCTACCATGATATATCCGTTTGCGCCAGCATCGCGAGCGTCCTGTACGGCTTTGTCTTCGCCATATGCAAGAATAGGATTGTAATAACCTGCACGAGCAAGTGAGCACGAACGGGCTCACGAGGTCGCATATTAGACTCACCCATTAGAAGCACTGGGACGGTAAGGCCTTTGTTTCGAGCCTCTTTGATTTGCCTGAGGATCAATGCATAGTCAACTCCATTTTGAAGAGCGACCTAATGTATTCCACTTAGAGCACGATCGAAATTTGGAATGAACGGACTCACGAGGTTAGTTTCTTGAATAGCAGGACCGTCTGCGATAGGATCTGAGAATGGAACACCAACTTCAATGATGTCAGCGCCTCCAGCCTGCATCGCCAATAGGATGGGAACGGTGTCGTCCTTGTTGGGAT